AGCCCCAAATGAGGAGCTGACCCTGAAGCCTGGCAGGAAAAGGTGGGAAGGCCTTTTAGGCAGGAGGAACAGTCTGGCTAAGGCCCGAGACAGGCCAATACCTGGGAACCACTCTGTCTAGCCCAGGGGTTGCGTGGGAGCCTCGCAACCAGGGGCGCAGGCAGGGCAACCGCCGACGGGGCCTTGAACGCCGAGGACAACCCGCTCCCTCGCTCCGCACCCCACCCCCACTCCAGCCTCCTCCCTTCCTCCGGGCGGTCCCGGGAAGACAGGGCGGGGCCCCCGGCTGCCTTTTCAAGTCAACCTCCCGGAGGCTCCGAGCCGGCTGGGCGCGGGGGCCGCTGCTCCTCCGCCTACATCAAAGCCCGCCGCCCCAGCCTGAACTGGTTGCGGAAGGGGCGGGCGAGCCCGGAGGGAGGCAGGTTTGGGCAGATTTCCCCTTTCATCCTGCGGCTCAGCCAGCAGGGACCTCGGCGAGGCCCTGCACGTCCCTGCTGGGCATGTCCCTACAGGGCCTAGCGGCCAGGGAAGCCTGCGCGGCTCGTCCCGGCAGGGACAACCTCTATCCTGGCCGGGCTGTGCGACCTCAGGCCTGTTCTGCCCTTCTCTGTGCTTCGATTTCCCCAGCTGCCCTCCACCATGCGCAGGAAGCCCTGGCACCGGACCTTCCTGGGGAGAAGTGTTCTGGGAAGATTCCCTAGTGATTAGACGCTGAGATCCCAGCAGGGAGCCAGGGCTCACCTTGGCGGGCAGCTACCCTCAGAGGCTGGTGTACCTATCGCCCCATTTTACAGATGGGAAAACCTTGTCCCTGGGAGGCCACACAGCCAGATAAGTAGCAGAGCTGGGTATGGACCTGGGTTTATTTTTGCTCCGAAGACTTGAAGCTTAGCTTCTGCCTCTGGGATGAGAAAAGTCGAGCCTCTTATCCCCACAGCCCAGGCAGGTAACCACCCAGCCAACAAGAACCCCAGCTGCGACCTACCATTATTACATCCAGTATGTAGCTGAGGGACTGAGGAGGCACAGAGAGGGGCGCATAGTGAGCCTCAGTCTCACAGGAAATGACTGAGTCAGAGTTTGAACCCTGGGGGCATGAAGGAGTTTGATAGCTTTGGCGACAGAGAGCAGTCCTGCCACCACCAGTATCCCCGCCTCGGGCCTAACAACACACAGCTATGGAGCCTGAAAGGGCTTCTCTGTGCCGGGTCGGGGGTGGGGGGCGCTTAACTGCCAAGAAGGGGCAGTTTTAATGGGCCTCCCCAGGTTGTCAGGTGCACTCAGGCTGGTGGGATGGGATGGGTACCCGGGTACCAGGCAGATGCCACCCCAACCCAGAGATTTAAAATTCCTCCCTGGAAAATCAGATAATCAAGGAAGTCGAATACCGTGAAATGAGTGTGATCCTTGCCAGAAACCCAGAGGGAGCATCGGAGAATCATCGCGTGGCAAGCGCAGGAGTGCGACCTGCCCTCTCTCCTTCAGACGGGGAAACTGAGGCCCAGAGCACAGCAGGGAGTGCCTTGTCCAGCGTTTAGTGAAGGCCTCCCACGTGGCAGGCTCTGTGTTGGGGGCCTGTTCAGTCCCTGTGCTCCTGGAGCTCCGGTTCTGCTGAGAATAGTCCTTTGTGCACCG